TCACGGGGAAGCGGCCACTGTCGCGTCACACAGTACTTTGAGCCGGGCACGAGATCGATCTCGTGCCGAACGCCACAATCGGGGGGAAGTTCAGCCGGGACCTTGTCGGGGAAGATGTCGATGAACTCGCGGACCAGCGGAGCAACCGGGTTGCCGGCGGCTTCGAGTGCCGGTAACGACTTGGCCAAATAGCGGGCTTCATGGGCGGACTTAGGCTCAGTGCCTTTCGGGCGTTCCCGGGCGTCGGACGCGGGGTCACCGACATCAACATCAGCGCCGACAGCCGCAATAGTCGCGGTGTTGTCCGCGACGATCATGCAAACCTGCTCGATCTCACCATGCTTCAAGTTGTGGAGGAAGTGTTTCCACGACAAGCCAGGCAACGTGGTGATCTCGGATGCGTTACACGGGGGGCGTGCGACCACGACGTCGCACGTACGCGGGTTCGTCGCCGCGTCATCCCCCATCAGAACGGCGATGACCTCGGAGTCAGACACGTCTGACTCGTACGGTGGAGCGTGGGGTCGCCGAGGCGGGCGGCGACCACGGCGACGGACAGGTCGGACAAACTCCTCCGTAGCAGGCAGTGGGAGACCACGCTCGACCAAGTCTGCAGTTCTCAGACGCCGGGACACGACATTGGCGTCAACTTCATCAGGGAGCCCCTGCTCGACCACATGCGGGAGCCCCTGCTCGACCGCACGTGGGAGACCACACTCAGCCACGTCTTCTTGTTCGTCTTCGACGGAGAGCCGCTGCTCGTCCGTGCGTGGGAACCTCCGCTCAACCACGGTGGTGTCTGCTGCCGAGAGCCGCTGCTCATCGGGACGTGGGAACCCATACTCGACCACGTCAGACGCGTCTTGAGTCACCTGCTCAAGACCGACCCTCGCGAAGCGGTCGCTTCGCGCCATCAACGTGGACATTAAGGACAATCAGTCTCGAGTCACTGCTGGAGGTGGTGGCAAAAAGGTGTGCACGAAGCCCGGAACAGCTAGGAGGAGGCTCTGCCACCAGAGAGCCATCGCTCCTTCCACAACCAGTAGGGCGCCCCGCGCCTACTGGTTGTCGCCGTTTTTTTGACTCGACGATGGTACCATCAGCGTCTTCGGCGACGACGTGTGCCATGACCGGAGCGGGAGCGCGGCACACAGCCGCGCGATGTCCAAGCTTGCGACAGCGGAAGCATCGCATGGGGCGAGTGCTTCGACTAGGGCCCGCCCGAGGCGGTCGGGCAGACGACGTTGGCGCCCGTGGTAATCCTGAATGGCATCAGGCTCCGTGACGGAAGGGG